GGCGAAATCCGCCGAAACGTCAGCTTAATCGTGAACAAAGAATAGTAACACCTCGCGTTTGCTCAACAAAAATACGAAGGTATTAACATTGACGTAAAAAGAGGAGTAAGGTAAGGCGATACCATCTCGCCAAAATTACTTACCGCCACCCTCCAGAACGTCATGCGAACGCTGGAAGAGGATAATATGAGAGTGAAAATCGACGGTCGGCAGTTACATCATCTTCGCTTTGCTGATGACATCGTCCTTATAACACCAACCATTAGGCAAACGGAATGTATGCTTGACGACTTTGATAAAGCCTGTGGAAAGATTGGTCTTCGGCTAACTCTCACAAAAACGATGTTCATGAAGAACGGATTGGTTTCGCATGACCCATTCACGCCCAACGGAACGAATATCTCCGAATGCTGTAGTCATATCTATCTAAAGAAAACGAGCGGCTTAGAGAGCTCTCAAGAGCATCGAGGATGTAGTGAAATGAACAAAGAACAGCCGACTTCGTGCCCACCTTTTCGACTCAACGGTACTTCCTGCCCTAACGCATGCGTCAGAAACCTGGTCGCTTCGTACGCAGAATGAAAGGTCACTCAGCGTTATCGAACACGCAGTCGAAAGGACGATGCTAGGAGTATTCTGTTCCACACAAGTAAGAGATGAGGTCCGAAGCTCCGACCTGCATCAACGATCAAAAATCGAAGATGCTGTTCTGCCCGCTAAACAGTCGAAGATAAGGTGTGCCGGGCACGTAATGCGTGTGAATGACAACTAATGGGCAGGAGCCGTTAGTGATTGGATTCTTCGGGATGTTAAACGCACTGCAGGGAGACCTCCGACTCGATGGTCAGAGTTCTTCACAAAGAGCCTTAAAAAAGATATGATGCTCGACGAGTCCCTAGAGCAAGCAGAACCCACTGGGCTACTCTTGCACGCGACAGATAAAAATGGAAGATTTACTGGCGCCCGCTCGAGTCACTCGGCGATCCACGGGACTACAGGTGATACAGGTGTCGTTATTATATCTATGATGAAGGTTAAAGTTTACAACCAGGAACGTTAAGTTTTTTTTGTTCTTATCTACTATTACCATGTACCACTCTGCCTATTGTTAAGTAGATTCATTTCTCATTTTTCATATTCTAGATGATGAGAAAAATACTCAAGAAAAACGTTCGAAAATTTTTTACTCGACTTCGATAACAATGTTGCATCAGAAGAAGACTTTCGATTGAATTATGACGCCATTCGATGACTACAACCTGAATTGTTGGGTTTTCTTTTGGAGAAAATTTTTCTCGAAAGAACAATAGGGTCAAGAATCGGAGAATAGAAAGCAACTCTTATTTTCTTAAGTACGATGGTCTCTATTTGATAAGTTAGCCAGTTCTCCAGTAATTTAGATTGTTGTATATGACACTCTTACCACACATTTGTGGAACCTACACTAGCGAGAAACTGTTCATCGGTTGTGGACTGTGATGTCATCTTCCCCTGGTCTACTTATACTATGTTAAGGGTCAGTGTTTCCTCACGGAAAATCAACTCTTCGGGCGAACCTACGTCATTCACAGACAGCTCGCTAATAAAACTCACAATTCGCTAGCCTGCTAATGTAATATCCCCAATATCCATCCGAACCACCAAAACAATGGCTAGTTATGATGTTTTGTCCCGAAATATCGTTGTTGGAGTATCTTAGAACCACAGAGAAGCGAAAGAATTCTCCATTCAACAAAACTCTGATGTAATGTAAATTGTGTTGTGAGCCTGACGATTCGTAATGGCAACTCATCCAGATATCGCATATGAAGGTTTTCGCAAACATTTATAACAAACAGTGGATGCGATTGGTTTCTGTTATTACCGTCACCCTTTTCTCGAACCTTTCAAGTGTCACTACGCCTCTAAGCAGAAAATCAGTACCCAGTTCTGCTTTGTGAAATTGAGGATTTCGATTAATATTTCGAAATAGTTGATCGGGAATGATAAAGCACTCGAAATAATGTACGTCATTTCTAAGGATTCCCTAAATGATGGACGTTTTTTCATTAGGGATAGGTTTTGATGACGTGCAGAAAAGTAGACTTTCAAACGAGGAAGGAGTTCCGTAATTCCATCGGGAAGGCCAGGTAAGCTTATGCCACTGCGATTTCAAACGAGCTTTCCATTATTAATTCCTCACAAAATATTTCTTTAAAAAGTATCGCATTGAAAATGTGGTCCTCCACGTCGTCCATTTTGTTATGTGACGTGCTGTGGGAAAAAATGGAGCTTATTAGCGCCTGCTGGCGTTAGTGAATATCTCTCCTCGAAGTTGCGGAAAAAAACTGATGAGAACACAGCTGGGACAGGTGGAAGGCCTTCGAATTAATGACGTAATAATTGTTAGTGGAGTTATCCTATTTGAAACAAGAGTGGTTTAATGGTTTTTGAATTAGTTTTAGAAGAAATCTATCTATGAAACCATTGTTGATACCTGCAAGGTTTTCTATTCAAGACCAATTTAGACAGCTTTTTATCGATGAAGTAAGCGCTAACAAGCAACGTGTGCTCAATCTTGGCGTGAACATCCCTAGTTTGGAATTTCGCATCGAAATTTAGGTCCACGTGCCCAAAGCTGAAACAGCTTGTGATAATTAGTAAACTATAAATACGTTATGCTACATAGATCAATCCCGTTGACGGGTGATTTCTGATAGCGCCTATAGGTCAATAACACGGCTGAGAGACGGGTGAAACGAAGGACTGGCATGGTGTGGTGGTGAACGCGTCAGCCCACGGAGATGGCAATAACGTGTTCGGTCTCCACCGCATACACCAGCGGTCCGGAGTTTTGCAAATATCTCAGCAACATTATGGTTATATAAATACGATATATTTCTTGCCCACCTGAACTTTCCACCTACAGTTTGAAGATAACTCGAATCCGTCGGAAGTGTGTAGATGGGAATGTTGGTGTCCGGAAATTCAACATTTATTGACTGAAAGCGCACAAGTTTTTAAGTGTTGAGCAGGTAATATGTAGCTTAGTGAGCTTTTTTGTAGTCAAGGAAGGTAAGCTCAACTCCTTTCCCTCCATTCTGGAAACGAAATGGCCCTCTCAGCTTCTATATTTTTCACTACGTTCCATATCAAAGTTCACTATGTAAGCCGATTGAACTGATTAACAGCACGCAAAAACAGTTCCCACTTCTTCTTTCTTCTTTTTCTTTTTTACTTCTTTTCTCTTTCTTTTCTTCATTTTACGTGACGATTTAGGTCGTTTGTAAAAACTCAACCCTGGAAAGGCAACTTTTTGGATTTCTTCGAAGAATATGCAGTCAACGAGTAGCATAAGCCGCTGCTCAACAATTATAATGAAAAAATTAAGTTCAACCTTTTTGTGGGCTTTCAAGAAAGTTTAAGGAAGCGCTTATGATTACGGTGATTCGGTCACATTCACATTACTTGTCAGTACTAAAAATGCTGACGGAAGCTATTCTTGCATTATTAACACAAATACAAGCTATACTGTAATCGTCCCCGTGACGGTTTTCTAGTATTGGCTCCACTTCTAGTAAAACGACATTTCCTTTCTCATCAAGGCTACCCGTTAGTAAATCGTTGTTTCAAGGTTTGTTTTGTACGTCGCACTGATGCCTAACGGCTTTGTAATGTATCTTGGTATAAGCCGCATTAGGAGTTCTACGACGGGCTTTAAGCTGTGTGGAAACTCTAAACAAATCGTAGTTGATAAAATGTTGGTGTTTTAAGTTGCCATGTTGAGTTTGATCGTTTTATATGTGGAAAACAACCGACGTTTTTTGATTTACACAAAAAATGAAAGTGTAACACGCTCATGACCAACCGTCTCATTGCTTATCTCTTCCATGAAAATACGCCACTAATTTTATTGATAATTATGTTACAGTAATGTTTGACTGTTACTTCAATCGCCCTCCGTTTCATCTTACGGAATTGGAAGAAGGTATTGTGATTGGAACATATCGGGCGATAAATGAATCAGCTACCGGAAAACGTACAGCTTGAAGAAAAACAATACTTGAGTCAAAAAGTTCGTGACTACGTAAAGCAAAAGAAAATATTATGCACGATGAGTGAAAACTATGCCGAGGTCTTTTTACAACTTTTCAACTCCACTAGGGTAAGAATAAGAACTGCACGCTACGTCATACTGAAACACACGTTATAGTCCTTCCTAATTTGATAAAGTTCAAATCACTTTTCGAATTCTTATCATTAAGGATTTCCGGAACACTCACCACTTCCACAAGGTGGCGTTAACAGTCTTTTATCGATGGATGGAGTTGTTAACATAGAAGTGCGACCACTCACTGAAGAACTTAGATAAATGCGAAAATGAATGGATTTGATGTTTTTTGCTTATAAAGGATTTATTTAGGGTCAGATGAGGTTTGGTGACAGTACGAGACACAACGGTGATACGGTCGCTCCAGCAGAATTCGTGAAATCATAACTTGAACAGTTATGAAAATCAGTATTTTGTTCCTTTTCAGCTATTAGAAGCTCCATAATAATGGTTTTTTCATGACCTCCATAACCCGTTATCTCCACTGGTGCAGACTCCAGCACTTCTTCTTTTCTATTTGTTTTCTCGCATCCCTCATCCATGATGTTTTTCGGATATGTGTGTGGATCTGGCTTCTGCTTGAAGATTTGGTCATCGTCATGAATGACTATGAAGACCACTCGAGAAAATTCTTTCAGGAATCTTGGGAGGACCGCACTAGAGCGTTTCCAGGTCATCACCATAGCCATTCGTCGGCCTTTGTAGATGCAAAGCATCCAAGTGATTTCAGGCGTGTGTGCAATCAATTTTCCAATCCACAGAGATGAGAAGCTTGGTTGGTCTGGGTTGGGGACGAGCCAGGCGACTATGCGCGTATTATTGAACAGCGCCTGCTACCAATGCGCACTCACGACGAAGGTCTTGATTGATCCGTTGAGCTATCGAACACCAGCTTGAGAGTGGAGATCATCTATCGCTATACGCAATGCAAAAATCATTAGAATTACCTCGGATTTTGCTGTTCTTTCTTTGTTTCTTTCTATTCGAATGGTGAGGGAATATGTCTTTCTAATCTTGTTATATTTTCATTAAGAAATGGGCTATTCCAATCAGTAATTGCACTCTCAGCTTGTTGAAATTTTTTATTTCATTGAACTTCATCGATGTTACTATTATCATAAGACTCACAGTGTGTACATGTTGTCGAATTTGTGGCTTTCTTAGTGCTCGTGTTGCTAGACGTGGACGTCGCTGACAAAGAAACTCCGCATCTGAAGCAGACACGGTGAAAACTCAAACAACGTTTAGTAACAGTGATAGGAGAACTCACTTAACACAGCGCTCACAATGGAGCGGCCGTCGTGACTTTATCAATTTTAAGCAGGACTTTCGGCTATTACTAGACTTGGTATGAGGAACAGACATTGGCGTCACCATTTTGGTTGATGTGCGATCATCGAGTCCAGTTGATCGTCTACTGGAGATAAGGCTGGGAATTGAACGACCTATCACAGGACTGATTGCAGATTTCGTCGAAGCAGCACGAGCTGTATGAACTTCGTGGTCTTTGAGTTCTTTGCTAGTTGACCGCTTCGCTTTCTTAGCTGTGTTCACTGCATCAATAGTTTTCCCTTTCTTCGACGTTTTGGCTTTGCCAGTATTACTGGTCTTTGAGGAAATAAGTGATGATGAAGACTAAATGTGAAAAAAATTTATTTATGTGTTGCATTCAAGTTACAAAACATAAAGGCGCACAAACTTCTATCCATGCATAATAATTTCATTATTACCTCTACAGTTTTCTTCACTCTTCTACCGGCAATTGCGTAACGGTTAAGCGACAGATCGAGACAGGACACAGGTTTCCGCGCCGAACTGGTTCTCTGTTCTTTCCTTTCACGTTTCGTCACTGCTGTCTTTGTCTCTTGTCTTGGGTAACGCTTTCCAATTTTTCTGATATTCAACACTTCAAATACTGGGTTGATCGACGTTGAAGTCTCGCTTGCTTGCTGGAATTGCTCCGCCGAAGATGACGAAGTTGAGGCTGTGGAAACACTATCACTCGTCTTTTTTCTCTCCTTCTTGATCTCCCGCTTGGATTTCTGGATATTTTCTCGTGCTTGAAAAATCTAAATGCAATGCTAAATGATTGGGCAAAGGCCATTGAAAGGTGGTGCTGGCAGTAATTGACGCAGTATAAACGATAGTTTTGCGCCATTTTTATGAAAAACTGTGGTCTTCTTCAACATTCTGTGTTCTTCTCGATGCTGCTCAATTTTACTCGTTTCCAAGTCAATTTTTCATATTATCCCTTTAAAGATCGCGAAGCTCTTGAATTCAGTTGTCGACGAAACAAAAGAGGTGGAACTTTAAAAATCGATGACGTCTTTTACATAAGTTTTTTAACCATGCAATTTTGTCGCTTTCACTTTCATGCTCTACTGATATTTTTTGACCATCAATTTTCAATCAATTAACGCTGCGTGGGTCGCAATGGTTATCAGAAACCTCTTTTATGAACCTGATCTTTAGCTCAATCCCGCGCCCTTAACTAACCAAGTTCGTCGCTCCGGGTTCGCCAAATTACTACTACGCTCGTCTTGAAAACGAGAAAAACACTGAGGTGATGCATAGGAAGACAGACCCCCACAAGTCACCTTACATGAAATATGCCTTCAGTCATCTCTACAATGCTTAATGGGGTCGGTATGCGTTCCTAACGCATCGACCGACAACGGATGCTTTCCACTTCGAAATTTGTCGTTTTCTTTCCGTTGCAATAATCAAATGAAAAAATAAACTCATTGACATCGAAACACCCTGGTTCTGGCAGCCTAACGTCGTTTCAGAGTGCTGTTACTGAGCAGTCTTCGACTGGTTGAGTGAAACCCAAGCATCGACGAAGAAAAAAGAACGCAAGGTTGAACACTTGGCACACTAATTCATTCTTTTTTCGCTTTCTCTTTTCCAAAAGTTTTCCAAACTGTTCTAGTTGGCTTTTTAAACGTTGATATTAAAGAACCTAATAATCTTTCGAGTGTGCGAGAAAGTATTTTAATGTACACATAGTAATAGATGAATAGTAGAAGAACGATGAAGCCACCTACCGTCTCCTTCTTTGCCTCGTCGTCATCTCCATGCTTCTTCACTTTTCGTCCAGCCACCACATAACGATTCGATAGATAAAGATACGACTGGGGTCCTCCGGATTCAAACTGGGATTTTTTCTTCTGTTTTTTCTTTTTCCTCGTCGATTTCTTCTCTAGTCGAGTCACTGGTTTTCCAAGTCGTGGAAATCTGCTTGATGGGACGATTACATGCTTTCCAACCGGCGGTGGAATATTTTCCGAAAATAATGCAATACTGTCATCCGAAACAGCGGTCTTTGACGACGGATCTGTGGCAGTTGACGTCTTTTCTTTTTTCGTGCTTATAGTTTGTGTTTTTTTCTGAAGTTTTTTTGAATATGAATCTACTGGGCCTTTAGTGAGAAGACATCTCTTTGGCGACAAATCGGACTGACTTTCCGAACCTTTCACTTTCTCCGAGGACGGAACTGTCACCTTATTATCTCTATAGTGAACGCCTTCCTTTAACAATGAATCAGATTGACTCGGCGGTCCTGTCGCTTTCTTCAAGTTTGTTGCTGTTCTCGTTGGAAATTTCTTCGAGGATGAATCTAAAGGATAGCAACCATCAGTGAGAGAGCTTCTTTCCGAAGACCAAATCAAATTTGCTCGACGGCTCTCTAGGCATTTTCGCCTATGCTGACATCTTTTTCGAGGAAGAAATTGTACGATTACCGCGTATAGAGGAAGCGCTTCTCTTTGACGATGAGTGTGATCGAGTTGATGACTCAGGTAACTTTTTCGATTTCGTCGTAAGTTTTGCTACTTCAATTTCATGAGCCTAGAAATAATTTGTTATCAAATAATCGCAGCGAATTCTAACTCAGTACTATCAATTACGAAAACTTTTGCATTAATTCTTTCACTTCACTACAACATTCCGACCCATTAATAGAGTAGTTTTTTCACTACAGTGCATAAGGGTGCGTGTGGCGCAGTGGTCAGAGGCGCCCTGCAATGCACACATGGGATCAATCCTCGCATCAGTAGCTTCCCAAGCTTTTCATCCCTCCAGGGTCTGCAAATTGGTACCAGACTTGTCTGCGAAGATAGCAGCACTGACTCGTTATATACTCGAGGGTCGTTATAAAGGCCAGATATGCATTCAGTTACCTCCAATAATGCTTAATGAAATTGAATGCATGGTGCATCCGTCAGGGATTGATCGACACAGAAAGCTTTATCCCTTTAGCTTTACAGCGCATAAAATCTGCTGAAGTTCATTAGAATAGTTCCTGTGCTGGAAAACAATTTCTCACAACTTTTTTGTTTTCCGTTACAATTGACGCCCAGAAGAAAACAAGGAGCAAAATTCCTAAATGATGCCGTTGAGCAGCGACGTTATCCGGCATCACTACCGTAAAACGAGAGACACTTGGAAATTTCGCAACAGTCCTGCAACTTACCCCAATCATCTCGGTTACAGAATGACAGAGGGCCATTTTTTATTACTTGCAAGTTGTTTTTCTTCCAGTTTTTTCTAGTTTACAAATCTTATCAATGTATCACTTTGCTCTCTTATTGCGGAAGTTTCATGTTATTCTTACAGCGTCTCTTGTCGCAAGGGTGATTCAGTGGGCAGCTACTACAAATGGTAATACCACGACGATTTCCTGGCCACCACTATTTTCCATACGTTACACGATTAATAAATACCTCTTGCACTGTTTCATTTTCAAAGAACACGAACCATTCTTATCGTTTGTTCACCCAGTTTTCAGACCCTTAGTGATAACTGTTTTCGTTCATTTTCTTCCGCCAGCGTTTTTGACCGTGTCATTTTTGAGCGATATTTTCGGCTAAGATCGATGCTTTTCAGAATCAACGAAGCGAATTCAATAACTGCTTTATCCTTGCTTTTGAAGAGCACCGATTTTTCATCCCATCAGTTTGCGCCTTGACCGAAACCACCAATCGAGTGCGAATTTTCCGTTAGTGATCACTTTTTTTCATTATTTGAGCTAACATGAGGAGGTAATTCCACCACAGCTTCTAAGGAAAAGATCTCAGATGATGCAGGACATCTTCTTTGAGTCACTTTAGGCAAACGTGTTTCACTTTTTTTTTGCTATAGCTGTAGTATTGATTATTCTTCTAAGTAATTATGTGAATAAATTCTCAAGGAAATATACTGACTTGAGGTTTTAGCGACGATCTTGCAAAAGCACTGACATCACCCGGCTTTTTATCACATACATAATTCTCTGCAGTTGTCGCCTTGGAAGAGAATTCTTTGAGTGAATCTCTTGGTTGGAGTTTTTTGTTCGAACTTGTACATGTTACTGATGGTAAAGTTATCTTGTCAATGGATTGCTTCTTTGTAACTGTCGTTTTGAACGTCTTCGGTAGTCGATATGGATCTCGTGGCTCAAGTTTTTTGTGAGATTTGGTTGATTTTATCCCTGAAGATGTCATTTTATCAATAGCTTTCTTTTTTGGAGTCGTAATTGTCGATAACTTTTGTAGTGGTCGTTGTGGATGTCGTGGTTGAAGACTTTTGTTAGGTTCGACAGCTGTATTCAATAAAGATGTCGCTTTATCAACAGGTTGAACAGCTTGGTCTTTTAGAGTCTTCGTTGTGGACGATTTTCTCGGTGGGCGGTATGGATCTCGTGGCAGCAGTCTCTTTATTGCGATGGAGGAGTGAGAGCATTCCTTCACAGTTGACCCGATTGCATTCAAAGTACGTGGGTGACGGCAAAGCCCCTTACATGGGTACGTTCTGGATAAGTGTGTTGTCTTTTTTACATAAGACTTGCTATCGTTTGCTGATTCGTTCTTTCTAGAGGTGTGCATGACTGATGGATCCAAACACGAAGATTGTGGAAGCTTTTGTTTTGCTTTGGAGGAGATCGACCTCTTTGTGCTTAAGTCTGCACTACGACTGCTTCTACTCATGTTTACTGTCGTTGGATTGGACGCTGCAGGGGCTCGTGGCTGCTTTTCCCTCATCCCAAAGTCTTGTTGTAACAAATTCCATTTCGACGACCTTCTCGAACTTTTAGATGGTTGTGACGCTGAGTTCATTGAAGAGGTCGAATAGCTTTCTATTGGCGCTGATTGTTGAAATGGACGTTGATAGTTGAATTTGTTTCCTAACGGTTCCCTTATACTGCTGCCGGTGCTTTGTTGTTCTCTTTCCTTTTTTGATGTGATTAAAACATTATCAGTTTTGTCTCCGGTCGTTTTGGACGTAGCCGATTTCTGTTCTATTATAGGTTTCGTAATTGAAACTTCAGAAGAGGCATCGATATGCTCCGCTCTAGGCAAATTCTTGCCATGTGGCGACTTCTCATGTATGGAGACAGAGCTGCAAATAAGCAACGATAACGTCATGAAAAAACTTGATTGTGAATAAAAAGAAGAAATGATAACTCATATTCCTTTCTGGCTCATCTACCGGTGTTTGCCCTTAGATGAGATTCACTTATCGTGTTTGACGTTGGAATGGCGTTAGGCGCTACAACGTGCGTAACTGATACCTACTGCGCTACATTTACGTCATAAGAGTGATATATGTTACCGCTTGTTCTTCCATATTATTATGTCTAGGAATAAATAGCCTTTCATTAGAGGGAACAATATGGATTTGGTGCAGATAGTCACATACAGCTCTCCTTTCAAGACAGCATGAAAGTTAAAGGCAAAATTGGGCCCGAAAAGAAATACGATGAAATCAGTTTTTCCCGATAGTTATTGATAACATCAGCTTTTTCCTTTTTTTGAAAAGCAACTCACAGTGCATCATCTGATTCACAAGTGATGTAAACGTTGTCAGCGTGTTCAATTGTCACGTCACCATGAGCAGCGTTCTTCCCTTGACCACTGGACTTATCCAAACATTTTACGTTTACTAGTGATGGTATACGAACTCTGAACATCCACACGATTCGTAACATTCACACCTTCTGTTCTTAAACATATTTTTGTTTGTATAGAGAATATCGCTTTCAGTGCAAAGGAATACTGGGTAAAGCACCTGTGTGTTGATTTGCATAAATCGGTTTCTATCATTTGCACTCGTCTACGTCTCATGATAAGGGCAAAATGGGAATTGAACTGAGTATATGCTAAATCCACACGGCGACGTTTTATCGGTGGTTCAATGGCGTGACCTTTCATTCTGGCTATGTCCACACAAACACACACACACACACACACACACACACACACACACACCACCTTGGGCTTGTGTTACCTTATGAAGAAAATACTCTTCCTTTATAAGTCTCAGTTTGACATTCTCCGTCCACAAAGAAGCAGTAAGTCAATATGGTGGAGTAAGATGTGGTAAATACATAGCTTAATGTTTCTTCCAGTTTAACAGTATGTAGTACGAATTTTTTTGATACGACATGCAGTGAGGTTGAACTCTTACGAAGAAGAATGTGGACTGAAGGAGGGGTCAGATTTCACTGATATAACGTCTGCGGTTGGACAATCTTCGTCGCTGGCGCTTCCCAACGCTGGCTTTTTCTCTGAAAGAAAAACGAACATGTTCCCTCTATAAAAAAAAAAACGAAGGAGCCGCATGGTGTGGTGGTGAACGCGTTACTCCCCGGAAAGGATAATAGCGCGTTCGTTCCCCACCATAGACACCTGCGGTCCAGAGTTTTGCAAATATCTCAGCAACGTTGTGGTTGTATTTCGCTTAGTAACCTGCCATGAAAATTATAGAAGGCAGAAAACAAAACGTTAAACATTGTTCCCTCTATGTCACTAACGCCATGCAATATCGTTGAAATTGGCACAGGTTTGTTTACATTCGAGAATGAACCAACAAATACAATTTTTCACGCCCCTTTCATGTCAGCTGTGCCAATTAAGAGACTCGATTAGGGACCGCCTAGCGTCATCTTCTCTGCTCATTCTGAATGTCGGTCAAACACCGCTTTTCGTGGATTCCTCAGATAGTAGCGTTGAAGCGAGAAGATCAATAAACATCTCTGCTATCGGTAAAAAAGTCCATCGTTCCTATGAAATCTACAGCCAACCATAATCAATATGTCACTGAGTGCAGTAGAAGATATCGTCAATTCGCAGCCGAACCTACGATCCCGACCACCTTTATCATTGAAGATTTCAAGGCATTGAATCCAATTGAAGAAATGCTAATGTCTGCATGACATACGAAGACATGATTGCAAGATTTCCACGCGATGAGGGAACTAGTTAGTGTTGGTCTACCACACACTGAAGAACAAAGGGAAAAATGAGATGTTGAAAGTCCTGAATGATAAGGCAGTTTAGGATAAGGCGATCACTCGTTTTATACCATATTCATTAGCACAGCGGAAGCTTGGACAATAAAGCACGAGCTTTCCGTCGTTGGCTATCCCATGTGATCCCAATTCATTCCAAACATAATTTGATCAACCTATTTATAAAATCGCGCGTGTTATTCTCTGGAACAATCACTTATTGTATGTGACTAACCGGAGAGGTTTACGGTGGTTGATCAAACTCATGCACACATATCTATGAAGCTGGGCTCCACTTAAAAGTTACCACTACCCAGTCTTTCCAATTATAACGTATGAATATGATGAATTGCAAGCCACAACTGGGCTTATTATTTGTCTTCACACTTCGCCGATACGAAGAATTTAAGCTTTTTGGAGAACAGGAATTGAACCATTTGGTGCAAAAGCGCGACTGAAAGCTTGTTGTACTACTCAAGCATCAATACCAGAGAGTCTTCTGTGGGTAGTTGTACTTATGTTAAACACGTACCACCCTCATTCTGTGTTCGATCTGGTGAACGTGATTGCAACCGTTTCAGCAACTCTCCGGCACTGTTCACAGTCTTGTCCACCATGACAAAGACTTTTTCGTAGGCTTCCGTTGCCATCTAAATATACGAAGAACAGTTCTGAACGAATGTCAAACAGATTGAATAGAAACACGCAGTTGAATGCTGTACAAATTCTTCACCCACCACATCTGTGAGGTGACGATGTCGAATGATGCTAGCCGATTCGAGTAAGTGGTAGTTCTCTGTGAGAATAAATCTAATGTTTTTATCAGGATAATGATAAATGTTTATCTGAACTAGGAAGTTTCCTGCTTCTCCAGAATTCTGATTGATTTCAAATTTTCAGAGGTTCCGAACCAGGCTGTTTTTGGTTTGAATTTCGCACCTTTAGATAACTTCCCTGAAGACACAGTTTTTTCTCCATGGTAACAATATTATTACAGGAAGGATGAGCTAAATTAGTCATAAAAGAACTCCGATAATTTCACTAGAAATGTGGTGGCTTGCAAAAAGGAGTATCGTGAAGCGCCCATTTTGCCACTTTTCGAACTCTTGTAGTGATTGCGATTGCCATTATTAAGATAAAGGATCGATTTTCTTCTATTTGAAAGAACGACAACCACGATGTCAGAGTAGTCCCACATTTGAAGCGTAGACTAAATATCAATTCAGATTTTTCATGCTTTCGCGATATCCGTCAAACGGATTGGATGATCCGTTGGCCATCACATTGAAGTCGCACGATCTGTACAGCACACCAATCACCGAACATTCCTAACGGAGCTCAGTGGAGTCTCTGTTGGTGTTTGTCATGTGTCACGACTGATGAGTAAACTCTATTCATTCGAGAGACGAGGATCTCATACTTTTTAAGCACGCTGTTTCCCGGCGGCGGGTCGCCGAATTCTGTTTCAACGTACCTTCCCGTGTAACCGAACTGACACAAGATTGGCATGAAATATCTATTCGTCTAAAGAACTGCATTGATCCAAGCCGATGATCCATAGCTGATCGTCCGCGCGATGTGGGTGTTCGTTGTCACACTGAGTCGAATCCAATGAAGTGGAACACCGATCGAATGAAAAATCTCACAAGAGGGTGCCTTTAATATTTCATATCAATCTCTTGTCAGCTCATTAACACAAGAAGATATCGATTTTTTGTGCCAAGGCGAAATAAAGGCTGGTTTTTAGAGATATCCTAGAGTAAGCTTACTTTATAAAGGATTCTAAACACATATGCTTAACTCCTATCCAGCTTTGGTGACCATGATGCGGAATGAACACCTGTGTAGACTGTAGTTCGACACACAGGGCATTTCAAGCCAGAAAGTGGTGGTAAGTCTATTAAGTGCTATTCAACGTGCAGAGTACATTTCTCACGATGACTGCAACTACTTGGGTTCCTCATACGAGTAATTCACTCAGTAATATGACAGGTATCCAAAACGCTTCATGGTTTTCGGAATCTTCCACAACTCTGTAACCGATATTTGTGACAATCGGTAACAAATAACGCAAAGTTCTCTTATTGGGTTAAAAATTAGAAATTTCTGACAACTATCGAATGCACTCATAGCTTCGGTTGTTTAGGTGTGTCAAACTCCTGTTGCAGATTTGACGTCCGTTAGTGGCTTTCTCCTTCGGTGAAGAAGCCCTCGACCACTGATTCGAAAAGTGGCAATCCCTCATTTTAAGAGGGAAGTGAGCAAAAGTTGATAATTTTACCAAGAATACAACCACAACGTTGCTGAGATATTTGCAAAACTCTGGACCACAGGTGTCTATGGTGGGAAACGAACGCGTTATTGCCCTTTCCCCTGCCGCGAAATTATAGTAGGCAGAAAATGAAAAGGTATAACATTGTGATTTCAACTACAGCCGCAGCTTAACTGGGTTCTATGCCGCTTTGGGCGCCCCAGATCAATCCCGCTGACGGGTGATTGCTGTGGTAGCTGAGAGACAGGTGAAACAAAGGACCAGCATGGTGTGGTGGTGAACGCGTTACTCCCCGGAAAGGACAACAGCGCGTGTTCGTTCTCCACCGCATACACCTGCGGTGCGGAGTTTTGCAAATATCTCAGCATTACATAAGACTTGTGTTAGTTAAAAGCACCTAGGAATGTCATGGAGTAAAGGAAAACTTGTATGCCCAGCGTTTTAAGGTTCTAAAAACGTCTTACTCTTTTTCCCCTTATTATGACAAAAAATTATACATTTGTCATCATAATTTTATTATTAAAAAATGCTTTTTGTTCGACCGTGTTTAAAGAACAATAGGCAAATGATTAGTTTACTTTCAGTCCGCTAGTCGTCAAACTGCCTGTAACGTGCCGATATGACGACGCTTGAGAAGGTTTAGTGAGCGGAGGAGAACGGATCGAAACCAATTATGGGTACCTAGATGGATCTAATGTATCATCGTTCCCTGCTTCATATCAAATATGTGGTGCATTTCGTGTGATTCGAGCTAGAAAGAGAACCAGTGCGTAACCATTTTATAAGGAAGTCTGGGAGCTCCACAGATCTTCATTCAATCCGAAACTCATCTAATCTAACTTCAAATGATTATGAGGTTGATGAAGGCCGTCACACGACTCGACCGCTCAACAAAATGCACCAGCAGTTTGGGAATGGTTTAAAACCGTGTGATATCACATGTTTATGTAATTTGACCACGAAAATCCCAACATCGATGCAGGAATAAATATTCCACCAACAAATTCGCATTTCGTCATCTCTTTTCAAGGAAACACCCTTCTGGTATGAAAGATGAAGGGCAGTTTGACTTGTGTGCACAGATCAGGTAGTTACATAACATAGAGTCCATAACTTAAAAATACGAGCCAAGGGAGCCTCAAAAATGTTTTATAAAATTTTAGGCCCTAGGAAGCATTTCTGTAGCATTTCTATTTCAGGTAGGCGTTCACTACTTACGAAATAATCACTCTAAAGCTGACGCGAGGTTGGTACAGATCTTCGCTGTCGTTGTCGTTGTTTTTGATGTTATTGATCGATGGCTGACGTTTCGGCGACTTCGCCTTCCTCAGAGCCTGGACGTACTTTATGTTAGAATACTTTTTATTAATCGGTGGAAAAGAAGGTTAAAGTATTAATGAAGATCAAACTTTCAAATAGACGCCATATTGAACAGAAACGTCACTCACCGTGATGTTACGTGCGGGACTGGCCCACACGTAGCTCACGCGAGCAAGACACGCCCCGGGGTCAAAATAACATTTTGAAATAGGGCGCCAGGTCACGCGTGATAGTGAGGCATTCGTCGTTCCGGTTCATCTTTGGATTTTTGAAATTTATCCAAAACGCCTCAAGAGTTTTGCGCGTTGATGTTTTTGATTCCTGCGCTAGGATCTGCACATTCACTTCAAAATCATCGCCATTGTGTTGTTGTACCCTATGTGCATCTAGAGGAGTGCTTTTGACAAATTTTAACTTCCCCATCTAGGTGTTCTTTAATGTGGACATAAAACGGTCTACCCGTTTACCTAATGTATTTTTTCACCTCATGCCTTATGCATGATCAAGTATATTGCATCTGAACTCATGCAATAACCATCCCTTCCGTTAGGACAGATCAAACAATTTTCTGAACGGTGCAAACGATCATAGAGACGTTTGCGAACTAACTGACGTCGTAGGGTATTGGATGGAATGTCAATAATCGTTACATAATTATCAAGACCACTTTTTCTTAAGCATCTCCTAATGGCATAACTTATTCCATTCGATATGAAGGGTTGCTCGAAAGGTATCTTAGTTACGTTCGAAACATTATTTTAGAGAACAATTCTACCTTTTTGTCTAACCTGAGTGACTTCTGCTTTGTAGCCATTGGAAATGGCTAATTTTCGTGCAGATTTAGCAATTCCTCCCTTTCCTCCTGTGTGAACACATTTTTAGCCGTTCGGCACATGTTTTTGATGAGTGCTTTTTTTCATGTGTGGAGCATAAGAGGAGAGATAGTGAACTAGAATATTTTTACTACTTGGCTCATGATACCATTTTGTTATATAGCCACTTTCTGAGAGATTAATTTGAATGTTTAGGAATGGAAGTCAGTTCTAGGTTGGTTTTGCCGCGTGAAATTAACTGCCTGTTTAACAATTCAAAGCACTCATCCTTCTGTTATTGTATGGAACAGACGATGAAGCGGTCGTCCATGTGTCACCGATAGAGCAAGGGTCGGCGATCGAGAACTGGAGCTTCCACCTTAGACATGAAAGCGATGGCAAGGCTTGGTGCTAAACTTTGTGCGTTTAAATAAGTGGCCTAGTAAACCCATTTCGAAACCAATTCTGCGCAGAATCACTTGCAGTCTTCATGAACTTCAAGATCAGCTGCGTTATAGAGCCAGGCTTAAAAGGTTAGATTAAAAAAACTGCCAAAAGAGGAACTACCACCAATACCTTACTCTCGACTTTTCTTTAAGCAAGAGCCACCAAACAGCGATATTGACCCTGCACTTTGCTTGTATTCGAACGAAATTCTTCGCATACTTAACCACTAGCAACACAGAAAATTAAGCTCCAACCTCACACCTGTATCACTTGTACCACCTGCAGTCCCGTTGATCGTCGAGTGGCTCGAGCGGGTGCCAGTAAGTCTTCCATTTTTCCCTGTCGCGTGCAAGTTAGTATCTGCGTCTGTCGCGATGAATACCGGGTAAATTCTAAGGATTCGAAAATGAACCGCAGGGAGGAATGCGTCTTAATCGCTCGTGATCACGCACAGTATTCAACACAGATATTTCATCGCGTGTTTTTAAATTGTTGAACTTACACGAGGTTGAGAAACATTTATTTCAGCTAATGTTTGAATGTCTTCGTCTTCATCAGAACCGATGATCCAAGTCGATGGCCCACAGTTGTTCGTGTTTTCGATGTGGAGTATTTGTAGTCGCATCGAGACGAAGCTACTTCAAGTGGAACACCGCTCCAATGAGGCATGATCACCCGGCAGTGCTTTTTTATACACGGCGGTTGATGAGAATACGACTTTTTTATTTTTATATGACCCGTCTTCACGTCTACTGCGGGGATCCTGGAGATTCCAGCACCTATCACATTTGGTTCATTCTATCGCTTCTTTTATGTTTGGCTTTCCCTACTGTTTGATGATTTAGGTTTGATCTTGGATGTCGTAGAATGCTGGTCGAATCGATTCTCCCTGGTGTCCTAAGATAGCCGAGCTGGAGCGTTCCCAATTGGATTACAGAGAGCGATTTTTCTCGGACAAGTCCGGTACCAATTTCCCGACCCCGGAGGATAGGGAGGCTTGGTTAGCCTAGAACGGAATTGAAGTAGCACCATGCTCGTGATGACCAACATCACCACCACTGTGCCATCCGCCCTATGATGGTAGCAGCATGAATGATTCGATAGCACCAACATGGATAGTATGGGCCATCCGTTGATAATAGTTCATTTCTCAACAGGCAATCCACCGTGCAGGAGTCGGTATTATGTTAGTTGGCACAAAACGAATGGTAAAACAATATAGTGAAATTTAATGTAAGAGGGGGAGAGGCACGTTACGAAATACTTAGTGGGAGACTCATAGAAAGCCGTGAGTGTGCGAAGAAGCTATTTTATTTCCAATATGATCGAAATATTGGTTTAGCATTTTCTTTGTTTGGTTATGGAACTGTTTGACTGGGTAGATTGTAGTCAACTTGACCTCTCTGAGGAGGACGAAATCATCCGAAACGTCAGCTTGTTCGTGAATAAAGAATAAAATAACACCTCGCGTTTGCTCAACAAGAATACGAAGGGCGAAAACTTAGTCTTTGCTCATTAAGAGAACGGTGGGTTATTAATCAAGGTTAATAGAAAGTCGGTCGAGGTAATTACTGTTGTGAAAGACGAGCTATGCTTCGTCGTGAAGAGCTCGAAAGTTTAATGGGGATGACTTGTTGGGGTATGGAATCCGTGACTTTTGTGGATTTTGAATGCCGTTGAAAAGTAATAGAATTTTGGCACCTCTATAACCCATAGCGGTAAGCAGTAACGGCGTCGCTGTTGTCGTTACAAACCCACGTTGTTTTTTCTTTGTGTTTCTCCATCATTGTCCACTTTCCGTATGCTCTCGGTCTTTTCAATCCTTAATTCTTTCAATCAAACCCAAGCTTCTCATGACGTTTCAATTCTGATATTAAGTTCAGAAAAAAAACCCCAACCTACCACTGGCTAAAGTCTATCCAAGTGGAGAAAGAAATCCACACTTTTTCTACAAATGGAAATCACTCGGCGACTACATGCCGCTTTTTGTGTATTCAGCTGCGTATGCGTGAACTCTCCCAGCTCTGTTATGACTAGTGTAACTAGCGATAGACACTACGAGAAAACAATGCTCTTAAGAGACGCCGAGCATCTGAGATTCGTCACCAACATGCCACCACTTGAAGCAGTAAAGCCGATGATCGCTACCATGGCTATTTAGGGCCAAATTCCAAATCTAAAACAAAGAGCAGAGTAGTGGAAACCTCATAGAAAGCGGCTCTGAGGAAGGCGAAATCCGCCGAAACGTCAGCTTATTCGTGAATAAAGAATAATAACACCTCGCGTTTGCTCAACAAAAATATGAGGAATTACTTGATCAATGCCGAGGTTAATAGAAAGTCGGTCGTGGGAGTTACAAAAAGCAGAATACTTGGCCTAATGCAAACCAGTAAAGACGTGAGCGTGAAATGTCTATTGTAGACCAATCGCTTAGGAACCAAGCATTCAACGAATCAAGCACAGTGGAGGTGAAAAAGGTAACCGGATGCACAAGTGGCTATCACTTGATACTTGTATTATCTGAATTATCGTTGTATGAGGTCAGGAATTTCGTTGTGCACGAATTCGCCTTCCTTTGATATGAAGGAGTTTATTAGAGGCTTAGGACATGACCAAACACCGGATCCATGTTTTAGGGCGCTTCTAACTGGACTCGTGCTTTATAAGTATCGCAATCGTTGTGGTCAGTATTCGTTTAAAGGAGATATCAATGGGTTTTAAAAACTAAACGTCTGAAATGTTATCGCAAGTCTGCACTTAATTATACATCTCCAGTTTTCACACTATCTGGATCAGTTATGGCAGAGTACTTGGTGAAAATACTGATACTGATAATAATTGAAATCAGTATTTCCTATCTGAAAATGGATAGTTCATGTAAACACCTAATTAGCATATAACTGAAAAAGTATAAAAGTCAACAGATCAGCTGGAAGGGTATCAGGTAGAAGAAAGAAAATGTCCTCAGTTCCTCCTGGTGACATCAATACTCAACCGAACTCGAAGATTGTCTTCAACGCGCCGTACGACGACAAGCACACCTACCACATCAAGATCATCAACGCCTCCGGACGACGCATCGGATGGGCCATCAAGACGACGAACATGAAGCGTCTTGGTGTCGACCCGGCTTGCGGTGTTCTCGACCCCAAGGAAGCAACACTTATGGCTGTGTCGTGCGATACTTTCGACTATGGGCGCGAGGTGTGTATTTTCGCTTGATTGCTGGCCCCTTGATATTGATTACTAATCCAATGGTGTCGTTATGATTTTCGGTTTAGGACACCAACAACGATCGTATCACCGTCGAGTGGTGCAACACCCCTGATGGAGCCGCAAAACAATTCAGACGTGAGTGGTTCCAAGGTGATGGTATGGTGCGGAGAAAGAATCTTCCCATTGAATACAACCCATGATCGGTCGACTTTAATATGAATTAGTTATGTGTGTGGTGTTCAGATGTATAGAAAGGATAAAGCTCTCGGCGTTGATCAATTCTTGAGGGATGCGCTATGCGTTCGCCTTAATTGAGCATCTTTGGAGGTGATTGAATGCATATATGGCCTTTACAATGACTCGTGGTGGGCTACCAGTGTATCGAGTCAGTGCTGCTATCTTTCCAAGCAAGTCGTACCAATTTGCCGACCCCGGAGGTATGGAAGCCTTACTGGGCCGCCGATGCTGGGATCGATCCCGTGCGTGTATTGCAGAGCGCCTCCGACCACCGCGCCACATGCCCCAATTAGTATTTGCGTCTGTCAACATGTATATGTTCCAAACTTCGATATGACTCAACCGACAAATTACGTTTGATCATTTCTGATCGTGAGAGCTTTCTATTCGAAATAAGGAATATAATATGAGTTATCACTTTCTATAAATCGCGGCGAAAAGGTTTATCATTAGGTGGTAAATACAAAAATGAACGAAATACCTTACAACTAAATCTCTACGAAGCATTAAATTGCATCTGGTTCCACCGCTCCTTTAAACCCGATAAACTCTTCGCTAGCAAGTTGTTTTATTGATAGGCACACGCGACGTCGACGTCATTTTATCCTTCACGTACAAAAAAGCTAAAGTCTTGGCGGGTTTCATGTTTTTCATAGTCTGAAAAGATGTAGTTAACTGCAATCTATTCAACCAAATTGCTCTATAACTCTAAGAGAGTTTCTAAGAGAATTCTAAGAGAAGAATTGCGAAACATAGACTTCGAACGGAGTGAAGACAAAAAATTCTTTGAACAAGTTTTGACAGCCAAATATTCTTTAGTTGTCGATAAAAGGGGACAAATGCATTCCGGTTAGAAGTGCTCTGCAGCACACGTGGTCGTTGGTTCGATCTCACCCCGTTGGCTAACGAAGGCCCTCTGGAGTCGGATCATATCGGTATCAGAGATGTATGCAAATAACAAAGACACTTTGTTGGTACTAAGATATCATTCGATGAGAAAATCTACTCAATCACAGTGGGAAAACATCACATGTGTTGTTTTTTTTTCCATAAACTTGAACTGATGGGGGAGAAGTAGAAGGTTAGAGAATAAATTCTAGAGAATGGCGTTACAAGAGATTTGCCTCTAATTTACCGAGTCGGGAATGAGTAGATGATTTCTATGCATTTTTTTTATTTTTAAAAACAGCGAATTAATTAGAGATGCTGTGGGACGATAAACGCAAATCCTTTGGCTCGATATCACATTAAGGCAAACAGATCATACACCTGTCGTTGGTCAGTAAATTGCTATTAAACCGCTATGGGAAGAACGTCGCAGCCTCCTAGAACATCTATCCCATAGCCCACGATTCCCTACGAAAGCAACTCAACCAGTATTTAATGACATTCGTGAAGAAGACAAAATGCTCACGTCTGTAAATGAAAATCCTTTCAACTTTGTGATCTACGGATATGAGAAGGAAAATAAAAAAATACCAGAATCGACAAATTACGTAATATAGCTAAAATGTTAGTGTTGAATAAAAATACTACACGAACGGCAGGAGAGCGCAATGGTGGTGATGCAGTTTAGCAGGAAAACGGAGCTGTTTCGTCCCCGCATTGTAGTCACCAATAGTTCCGGTATCGGGAAATTGACCATAAGCTTGCTTAGGATCAGTGCACTGCTTCCAATCATGGTGACAGCTTCTTGCAAGGCTGTTCCAGTACTCCAGGGAGAATCGATTCGACTAATTTTCAACGATATTCATCAAGAAAACGAAATCCTCAAAAGGAAAAGGAACCCACCATCAAAAAGTTTCAAGATACTCGTGGATAATTGATGCAGGAAAACGAATCAAATGCAGGAAGTGCAGGAATCCACCCTACAAATATGAAAGCGGTGAAAGAGCCATCCACTGTTAAGGAATACTTGCTGCTTCAAGGGTTGAACCTTGAATTGTGTTGAATTTTCAGAATGCACAGTTTTCAAGCAAATTTTGGAAAGCTGTAGCAAGAGCAGGATCAACTGAGAATTGAAGTAGGTAAACTTTGCCAATTTTTCCGAGTGAAAATGGAGTAGGAAAATGTAAATAATGTAGTACTTTCCCATTTGGATCACTCACTTACCCGGATACTTGGATGACCTGTCTTCACTAACTGTATAAGCTCCAGCACAATTTCCTTCTTTTCCCAAGGTCAGCCAGGCTAAAACCTGCTCTAGGTCGGTACCACCTTATGGAGCAGAGGAAGATTTGCCTCCATGCGATTAGCTTGGTATCAGGACGATGGTGGATCCTGGTCCTGGTTTGGCGTTAGCTGGACTTCCTGTTGGAAATGCCGGACTCCAACTAAGGAGCAGCCCGCCACCCGGGAACGCTTCCCAGCTACGATGAGGCAGTACACCGTTGGAAGGCACGTTCAGATTATTAATGTAGAATGTGAGATTCAACAATACGCGACAGACTTATTTATGTGATCTTATAAACTAATCTTCTTAAGCTGACGCGAGGTTGGTACAGGTCTTCGTTGTCGTTGTCGTTGTTTTTGATGTTATTCATCGGTGGCTGACGTTTCGGCAACTTCGCTTCCCTCAGAGCCGTGATGTTACGTGCGGAACAACGAAGACCTGTACCAACCTCGCGTCAGCTTAAGAGGATCGGTTTATAAGATGACATAAATAAATATATCAACTATCTATTCCGAGGTTTATAGAAAGTTGGTCTTTCGAATACGCGACAGATTTCGTCTCCATCCAACCAACGGATCTTTTTCCATGTTTTTTTTTTTTGTTTTCTCTGTGTATTCTATTCGAAGAACAGAATATTTTGCAGCAACTTCCACGATCGACTTTCTATTAACTTCGGAATTGATTGGATAATTTTTTCCATTTCTGTTTAGCAAACACGAAGTGTTTTTGTGTTCACATTTTGTTTTTTTTTAAGTGTTTAGTTCACATTTTATTTTTTTTATTCAAGCACAAGCTGACGTTTCGGCGGATTTCGCCTTCCTCAGACCCTGGAAGGGTCAAGTTGACTGCAGTCAACACGGCCAAACACCTTCATAACCAAACAGAGAAAATGCTGAACCAAGATTTCAATCACATTGAACACAGAATAGCTTCTTTGCACACTCACCGCTTTCTATGAGTCCTCCACTAAATCTGTCACGTAGAGAACAACCGCACAGAGTTCACATGGAATCGTAATCTGCCCACCTCATCAGAATAACGGGCTTATATACTGCCCAATATCACCCATGATAATGAGGCATTCCACCCTGCAGTTTATCGGATTCTTGAAATTAATTCAGAATACCTCGAGAGTTTTGCGTTCTTGTGTTCTCGATTCCTGCGCGAGGATCGTAGCCTCTACTTCAAAATCTCCGTTGTCTCTGCGCCCTATGCGTGCGTAGTGGAGAATTTAGTTTACGTTTGCCGACTAGGTGTTCTTCTATACGAATGCAGAGTGGTCTACCCGTTTCGCCAACGTATTCCTCCCCGCACGCTTTACAAGAGATTAGATAGACTGTACCCTAACTCATGCAGTCACCGTCTCTACCATTGGGGCAAGTTATGCAATTTTGTGTTGCACATAGACGGTCGTATAGGTGGTTGCGAACTAGCTGGCGTCTTAGATTACTCGGTGGCATTTCAATTGTCGTTACCAAATTCTCAAGATTGGCCCTTCTTAAACAGCATTTTATAGCTCCACTTACTTAATTTGAAATGAAGGGCGGTATAAACGGACCTTATTGTCGCTAGAGTTATGTTGGGGTACCTGTGGTTTCCTCTACATCTATCTCGAGCGACAGTTTCGTAGCCATTAAAAACGGCTATTTGCCGCGGCCAAGTTCCAGGACTCCTCTCTCTGCTCGCTTCCTGTGCACACGTTGGTTGCTGTTTGAAACATGTTTCTTACAAGCTCTCTTTTCGTGTGAGAGGGGTGAGAAGAGAGGAAATGTACCAGGATGTTTTTACTACTTGGCTTTCGGTACTACTTCGTAATGTAGCCATTTTCTGATAGGTTCTCTCCGGTGAACTTGATATACTCTGACTGTTTATTCAACAACTCGAAACACTTGTCCATTTCCTCTTGTGTCGAGCAAAGGGCGAAACAGTCATCTATATATCTACAGTAGAGTAGCGGCCCGAGATCAATCACCGGTGCTTCCACCTTAGACATAAACGCAATGGCGAGACTTGGTGCCAGTCGTTGTCCCATTGCCAACCCTCTTATTTGAGCGTAGTAGTTTTCGGACCATCTGAGGATTGAGCAGTTTAAGCACACCCTTAAGAGTGTCATCAACTGCTAAACCGAGAAGCCATACATGTTTATTGCTACTTCGTGTTGTATAAGGAGCTCGCGGACGACTTGCATAGCGGAGTCATTCGACACGTTTGTATAGAGGGCCGTGACGTCGAAAGACTCCATCGCGTACGCGCTGTTGGGTCGCGCGTTACGTAGACGATCCAGAAACATTTGGGTGTTCGTTAGACGTTCATGTTCTCGGGTTCTCGAAATCAGGCTCTTCGGAGTGTTTTCATATACTTCATTCGTTTCACAACGAAACCTAATCGACTTCCAGTTATCGAAATTCGACCAACTAAATAACCTCTTGTGAGTAAATAAAAAGTGATCGTGGTATATGACGAGAGTGATATCCCTCAGAATTTTCTTGCTTTCCAGGAGGCAATTTCCATCAAGATTGGCACTTTTCCGCTCAATAATCGACTGGTCGAATGATTGTTTTTACAAATGGAAAACAATCACTTTTCTAGTATACAAGAAGAACAGTGGTCCTTCCGTGTTTTACACGACGCCTTCGCCCATTCAGCAATTCCATGAACAGGGAACTGAATATGAACCATATTTAGACGTGGCAGTTATAATGAGTCTTGAATAATTGGGAAAAAGCGTTTGTTAAGGTCTTTGAAGACATTTATTATCAGAAACTGTGAAATTAATGACATTAACAATAA